CATACGCACGAAAAAGGGAACGTCATACAGATAGCAAGACGTTAAAGAAATTCATCAACATTGAAGCAAAATACGATGATTTTTGATACGGATCTGCAATTTATATACTGTATGTATGAGAGAAGGGTGATAGACTGGCATAAGCCGTTTGCCTCGCGCAACGATCGCTATGCCGCACCGCTCTTATAGGTAAGTGGCTTCTTGGTCGCTAAATCTTTTGGCATGTTTGGGCTATCGATTATAGGGAAAAAACTCCGCGCCTTTTACTCGTGAAATTAGCGTAGTTGGTTTGCAAACGTACTCGGAATAAGGGGAAGGAATTAAGCATGTTATTTGCAATCTAACAGTAATGATAAAAAGCAAACTCTTTTGTGTACTTCGCGCATTAGAATAGAAGAAAAGCGTTGGAAACTTTTTGCAAAGTCTGAGCGGGTACCATGTCTCGGGTTACTGCGGCAATTTTGCCATTCCGCACAGTATTCAACGTATTCACGCAAGTCCTAGCTAGGTAAAGCTGTTCGTGTGATATCGGAATGATTCATTCCCCTTCCCCAACGACAAATATCCTGCATCATAAAGCACTTTCCCAAATAGATAAGCGCGCTCCAATGGGTGCAGCTGGGACCTCAAAGAGAAATCCTCATTCTTAATAGTTTGGTTGGTTTATTGTGCCCACAGGTCTCATTTATAGAAAATGATAAGTGTAGAAAAGTAGAGAACTACGTCTGTAACATTGACTCACTGTTAGGTTCCATCCCACATTTTTGGAAGTGGTGGTTGGTTGACATTTGAGTAATAAGTGAATTCTTATCACAGCGCGGCGAGTGGCATTGCGGCAGCGGTATCTTTGATGAGATCGCAGGTTAATGAATAACCAATAGCCGATGGTGTTTCCCCTAATAGACTAATTTTTTTCAAAAGAGCAATCAGAAATTCTCTTCTGGCCAGCAACGGAAAATATAGCGAAACTTCACAATCGAGGGAAAGTGAAGACTTTCATCCAATTCGACAGCCTCTTCCTATTCTTTTCTTATACTCACTATTATTTAATAAAGGTCTGGCCTTCATTCTCGTAGCAATCGTGTACATTCACACATAAGTTTCCATTATATACTGTGCATCCCTTCATTTACCTTCTTTACATTCGCTGACAACGATATCTCGGGGTAACTCTGCGAGGCATTCCTTCATATATAGCGCGATTCGGCTTTGCCACAATGGCTCATAATTCTTCGTAAGCGCGCTCCGGTAAGCAAGATTTGACACGCTTGCATCAGCGTATGGAAAATGCAGGGTACATATTATCTTGATGTTATATTTTTACCTATTGTTGCGAACATGAAAATCCGTCACCACTCAGTTCGCCGAAAATCAATTTTCAAACTCTGTGCAATTCGCGCTGGTGGTAGTTAAGTAGTTATCGTGTAAGGGGGATGTTCGAGAAGGATATTGAGCTTGTCAACTGTACTCACCGCTTTTCAAAGCTGCGTTTCAAGAGCAACAATGCGCTGGAACTGGAAGTGTTGCATTGCTACAAGTTTTTCAGGCTACTCCTATCAAGCTCTGGTTCAAATATTTGAAACCAGTGCTGTCTGATGGATCCGATAGTATGTTTAAAAGTTGAAAAATTCATATTTTTTGTGCCCTACGGCGCAATAAACGCGATATTGCGTCGGAAGTGCCGCGTTCGAATAACTTCCCACAGAACTACTCTTTTTGGTTCTCGTTGTTATATTTGGACTCAGCACTGACTCTATCCGACAATTAACTCAAAATCTGAAAAAGTCGATGTTTTCTTGTTTTCAAAAACGCAGGGCACATAAAACGCGTTTTTGCGTCGGAAGCGCCGCATTGCTGTAGCTGCCTCCATATTTATCCCACAAAATTCTTCTTTACTCAGTTGTTATCATGTCCCTTGAGCTATCCGCAAGTATGTTTGAAAGTTTTCAATCTCAGTTTTTAGTGAATTACACGTTCTTACTGGTCCCTTTTTTTGCATTGATAAGCTGTTAACGGTCTTCAAAGTAATCGTACAAAATTCTGAACAACACATTTGAAATCAGCTTTTTCCAAGCTATCCAGTGATGTGTCTGAGAACTAAATATCTCAAACCTCTTGCTTCCGATTTTATTGGTCCCTCATAGTAGTATAATTACCTAGGCTGGCCCCGGCCTCTGGCTGCCGTGACCTATCAGTATCGACTTTTGTTATCATAATTATAATGGTAGAATATAGTTTGAAGACTACACATTGACTTTCACACTCCAAAAATACGGTACATAGTTGTTAAATTTTGAAATCATGAACTTTAATTTGAAATTTGTTGAAATTTGAAAACCCAAAACTTTTTGGAAATTCGCAGATTGCAAGAAACAGTAAGAATCTTGTCATCTCGGGTCACTACGAAAAGTCGTGAATTCACTTCAAATAGCCAATGCAATTTGAAATCGGAATTTCCAAATCATGATTTGTTTTCAGGCTTCAGAGTTTGAAAACATATATTATTTAAACTTTCAAGGCATGTGAATGTGGGCTATGAGTATCAGCTTCCGGCTTTTCGTTTGAATGTGAACGAAATTGAGAATTAATTTCCACGTAAATGAAATATCGAAGATATGGTCATAACCACGATCATTTGATAATATCATATCAGCTAGATTCAATTTCAATTCTATCTTGAGTAGATTCCAACTATGCGCTATCTGCGATCGTGATATTTGAGTGAATTCGAAAAATGAAAGTTTGCCTTAAGGCATTACAGAGGATTATCTTATTGCTAGTCGAAAATCAGACGTTTATTGAGCTACATGTGCGTTATAGTTCTTGGCAAGATTATCGGGACGAACTTGTTAGAGAACTGCCTCTTCAAAACTGCTTTGGGGTTTCGAAGTAAATTGAAACAAAAAGTGCTTCAATTATAATTTTATGGCTGGGATAATTTGATGGCCTTTTTGTGTGATGAAATTCGGCGACAGTCCCTTTCGATGTGTGAATGTGCCCGCGGTGAGCGATCGAGATCTCAATAGCAATAATCATAATTTCTGACTTTTGTCAACTTAAACACATATTCGTGACGATTTTTATCATATTTTCTGGCTACTTTAAATTTCAATAACAAAAATAATAAGTTCTGGCTTTTGAAAATCCCAGGTCCAATTTTTGCCAAGTTCAATCATGTTTTCTAGCAATTTTGAAATTTTGATACCAAAAATCATATTTTTTGATTTCTGAGAGTCTAGCTATTTCAATAATTTTTACAAAGCTAATCGACATCTGTTTGGCTTTTGTTGGACCACTTCGCACCTTTGGACGCTCCTGTGTTAGCGGGTGCAGGTGCATCTAAGCAACTTCGACTGCTTAAAAACTACAAAAATCAAAAAAATTGTTTTTTGCACATTTCAGTGCAGGTAAGAATGTAAATCTACTTCCTGTTCCGCAAAAGTGTTTCTGGCAATGAAAACATGTATTGTACCTGCGTTTATTTTATCCAGTTGAGTTGGGTGCACCTGCACTCAGCTGACACACGTATAGACAAAGGTGCGAAGTTCGCTAACGAATGTCATCCAGATATCGTTTAATTTGGAAAAAAACTGATTTTCAATAGTTGCAAAAGTTGTTGAAACGTGGTAGGCTTCTCAAGAATCAGAAATTATGATTTTGCTATAAAAATCTCACATAGCCAAATTCGGCTAGAATTGTAGCTATGCAGCAAAAGTTAGTTATTTCTGCTATTGAAATCTTACAGAAAAGATCGTTTGCAAAACTAAGTTAAAAAATACGATCAAATTCATTAACAATTGAAGTATGGGATCCCGAAACAAAAATTATGATTCTTGCAATAACAATCTCACAATAGGCAGAAGAAATGATTGGCTTGAAATTTCAGATTGGAGATCAGAGGATTGACAATCTCCGGCTTGAAACTGAAATTGGACATCACCGTGTCTTACTGCTTAAAATTTGCAAATCCTTTAGGGATGATCTGTAAATTTCAACGGATTTCAAAAATTGAAGTTCATCATTTCAAAGAAGTTTTATAATGTACGGTGCTTTTGGCGTGTAAGTCAATGTAGTCTTAGTACTGTATTCTATCACCATACCTATTATGACAACCAAAATCGGTACTGATAGGTCAGCATCCAAGAGCCGGAACCAGCCTAGGCAATTATACTACTATGAGGGTCCAATAAAATCGGAAGCAAGAGATTTGAGATATTTAGTTCTCAGACACATCACTGGATAGCTTGAAAAAAGCTAACTTCAAATATATTGTTCAGAATCTTGTACGATCAACATTGCGGCTCTTCCTACTCAAAAACGCGTTTCTTGTGCCCTGTGGCACATGAAAACATTGAATTTTCCAGATTTTGAATTTATTGCCGGATAAAGCAATCAGTGCTGAGCCCAAATATAACAACGAGAATCAAAAAGAGTAGTTCTGTGGGAAGTTATTTGATTGCGGCACTTCCGACGCAGTATCGCGTTTATTGCGCCGTAGGGCACAAAAAATATGAATTTTTCAATTTTCAAGCATACTATCGGATGCGTCAGACAGCGCTGGTTTCAAATATTTGAACCAGAGCTTGATAGGAGTAGCCTGAAAATTGTAGCAATGCAACACTTTCAGCGCATTGTTGCTCTTAGAACGCAGCTTCAAAAACGGCACTGACAGTGCTGTACATCAATTTGGGTTCTATAATTAGAGTATTTGCTTTATTTTTGTAAAATTAGCCTTCACCACGTACGTGTCGCAGTATTACTTTCAGTGAAATTCAAACAATGACTCAATTTAGCAACAATAATGTCAAGAAGTAAGCGGATGATTGAAGTATTAATTTAGAGGGCACTATGAAGCAAAACTGCCAGCTGACCATTGAAGCGTTTCAGAAGGTTTGTGGAATTAAGTGGAGGAGTATTGGAATAGTGCATGCTATTCAAATATACTCGCATTTCTGAACATTCCGCCTATAAAATCTGCGGGAAATATTCTGTCGTCAACCATGACACGGCTGTTCCCGCTTTTCGCTGTAAGCCTTTACTTTCTGTTCTTGAGAGTCAAAACTATTCGATTAAATAGGTCTTCAACTCAATCTCTCTTTCTGCCCCTGCACCAACTCCAGATGGCGGTAGTGCTGCAGAAGAAACTTGTGATCAGGTTGACGAGGATTCAAAAAATCTGAACCTTCAACTGCAACATAAATTCCATGTCACTCTTGGCCTTAATACGGTTGGTCTTATGGAAAATAAAGCAACTACCACTCGTGCCGCTAAGCGCTTCTCAACAAATGTTTTGACTGTATCAAGATCGAAGCGAGCGAGAAATTCAATCAACAATTACAAATAAAAATTAACAGCTCTTTCTTTCTAGAGACTCGCGTGCTCTGGAGTATCTGATGCTAAGAAAGAACTTGACTACATTTTCGAGGGACGATCCAGGCCTGGTTATTACGGGCATTACTTTAACACCACAGTGTGAGTTGAGCTGTTTTGCTTGAAATTGTGCTTGCTAAAATCGGAAAACGTTGCGATTATTACAGCGGTCTTTCACTTGAAGCGGTCGTGAAAGGATACATAGAACACATGCAATCTGCACCACCGCTGTTTGACAGCAATAAAACGGTAAGAAGAGAATGGAGGCTCAAAAGCTTGCCGCGTTTGTTTTTAGGAGATATCGCAATTACGATTTACGCAGAAATTTTGACATAAAAGCACACTTTGGTAAAATTGCATGAATCTGAAAGCAGACGAACTGCCAAACTCCATATAGAGTAAAATTCAATAGGTATGAGGTAGATCATAACTCAAGGACGCTTACTCACTGTAGCGGATGAGCTTGAAGCTCTTTATTTAATTCCGATTCGGAAGCTTGACTTATGAATTTTGATGTTCTCGATTGAAAAGATTTTGTTTTGCAAAGCAGCATGTTTCGCAGAATCGACTCCCTGTTTCCATATATAATTCAGATTAACCCTTTCTTTTTAACTTGTCCAAAAATCTGTAACGTTATAGAAAATACGATACAAAGTTTGCGCTTTTTAGCATCACTAACAAATTCAATTTTTAGAAGCTCTTTTGCGCTTTGAGCATTATGCGGAAACTTTCGCTAGTTCTTAAATAAAAGCGAAAGCTGTGATTACTATATTGTATATGTGTTTTCCACAAATGCGGGACAGGATAGCTTCAGAAAAAGATCGTTTCCGTCAGTTTCATGCATGCAAAGCCCAAATATGGATTCAGCATGGCGAGAACGCTCGGAAAAGGTGAAAACTGGGGAAGGGAATTTGTCGAAACATTGCCTGAAGTCTGTACTTTCCAACACTTTCCTACTTTTACGAATGGTACAAAGACCGCATTTGAAAGGAGAACTATAGCTTTCTGCTCCGTCAATCTAGACCTAAGTATGTAAGATATTGAAAGGCTGAAAAATGCTAAAAATACTGATTTGAGATTATCTACTCTGAACAAATCTCATTACGGCAAATTATTATATTTTCATCCGTGCTTGCATACGCTCTCTTTGCCGAAATCCCTGAATAGATTGTTGACCCATGCTGCAACATTCGGCTCCCTCAGCAATGTTAAAAAGCATTTGTAGCTTCAGTAGGTAATGACTTTTGAAGCTTCTTGAAAATTTCATGATAAAACCCTAAATTTTCCAGTGTTGTGCTCCATGAGCTTTTCTGCAGAAAAAGCAAAAATTTTCATCATAACTATCTATGCCCTATTAGCAAAATAAACGTCAATCTCTCAAACTGTCTAGATTACATAATACTTTGTAAACGAAAATTGTTTTCGATAGCGTGGATACCGTAATGGAATGCATTTTCGATCAACTCTACTTTTTCGACCTCACTGCTGATTTCGGATAGCTGATATTACAGCTGGTAGATTTGCTGAAGGAACAAGGTTCTGTGTTCTTTTCCTGCGCTATGAAAGAAGACACATACTCGTTAGAGGAAAAAGACCAGGAATATGAAGGTGTGGAGAAGTCCGAAGAAAGGGAGATGATAGGGGAGCCGGAAGAAGAAGAAGAAGAAGAAGAAGACGAGAAAAACGAAGAAGCGTCGCCAGCTGAGACTCATTCAGGTAGCTCTGATTCAGACCAAGCAAGTGAAGGCAAGATTGATGGGCCAGTTAAAGGCGTTTTCTGCTATTTCTATTGATGAATCTACACTTCGCTCAATAAATGCGTTGTTTAAATGATGATCCAAACTATTTGAGCCATTTTTGATCAAGATTTGCTGAGATGATAGGTATTTCCTGTACATAGATACGAACATACGGGTTGCTTGCAAGTGGCTGACGCAGACACATTTGCAGTGCCTCAGTTGAGAGAATTTTCATAGCGATTTTTTTGAGTGGACTTTACAACTACTTTCAAGTAATGTTGGTGAATGAAAACTCACACAGCTTTTCCTAGAAAAGAAAAAAAAACGCGGGTCCTTTCCACAGTATCACCTTGATCTTAGACTCATCACAGAATCTTTTCAAGGCATACGAGCTAAATTTACAACAATTTTTGAAAGATCATTCCAAAAAACACCCACAAAGCAGCGATTTTCAGTAGAGGCATCTCTCAGTAATACATTTGTATTTCTAAGGAAGAACTGACTATAATTAACATCTGAATAACGGAGGAAAGAAATAGATGCACAACCAAGCTACAAAATACAAATCTACAAGCCGTTTCAGACCGTGATTGCGAGAGAGAAAGAGAGAGACGTTCTACATGCCATTTAAAGAAATAAACTGAGGAGAGGATAACAGCACAGAATAATCGTTTTAAGTTTAAATATATATTAGGTCGTTCCGAAAGTAATGTCGCTTTTTTCAAATGAACGCCACATTTCACGGAATCAAGATTTTTAAGAGATATTAGGAGCATTCAATGCAGCATTCCATCCACTTTTCAACGGTATCGTTGCATAATATTCATTAATATCGTTGCATAATATTCAATGAGCTCTGGAAAATTACCAAAATCTGCGATCCATGATCCATGCTTTTTGCTATGGTCATTTCGACTGTTTTTCTAAATTTTTGTACCTATTCTCCGAAGAAGTACAAGTGACTAATAGATAGCCCAAACCCTATAGGAAACAGAGTGATTTTTTCTTTTCCTTAGCTTGCTTCTTAGAGTTTCTGGAATCAATTATTCAATGCTATCAAATCCTATATTTGGTCAACTCAAACCTAACACAACAACAACCAGCAAGCAACTCGGATGTCATTCGGAGCAGCTTTTTTTCCTCTTTCTACCAGTTTTTTTCTTTTCGATTCATCAAGTTTTCCGGGATAAAATCATCATAATTCGGGTTTTTGAGGGCGCCCCAGGCTGTACCAGGAATTTTCGAAAGTTGCTAATCTGAAGCGATGAGTGCTCATTTGGTTTGTAAAATTAGTGTCAAACAATAATCCATTTTTGTAAATGTCAAAGTCTGAAGATTTAGTGGTGTTTGATGCATTTGTTGTCTGAGACCAGCCTGCTAAAATCTGGTGGTTCCATAAAAAAATCTATACAAAAATTATGACGAGCTCTGGAAAGTAGAAAAAATTTTTGCTATTTCCATCCACTACTTGGGCTGCTTCCGAGGGTTGTAATAAGAATCTAGAAAAATTGTGAAATTTGGCTTTCTTAAAAGAATGGGTCGCAGATTTCGATCATTTTTCGAGAGATTATTAGATTGTTTGCAGTGATTATATAACCATTAGAAAGAGAATGAAATGCTGCATCAAATTTGCCAGAATCTCTTACATATCTTTGTTCCACGAGATATGGCGTACGTTTGAAAAAAGCGACATTACTTTCGGAACGACCTATATATTAGGTTGAACCGAAAGTTCGTTCGCACCATTTTCAAAAATTCAAAACTTCTGATTTTTCCAACCAATTTGACCGCTTTTATTTTTGTATGGAAGAGTAACTCATGCTCTTTATGATAACATCTTAGCTGCTTACTAATGCCCATCTGTTGCATAGATAGGAGCGATAGGAGAAAATTAGTCAAAATTCGAATTTTCTGTGTAGGGTCATAAAAAAATCGGAAACTTGTAGTAAAAATCGGAACAGTCAGTAACATAAGTTCTTTCGCCAGTTCTTTCTAACAGTGCTAAGTTTGCGCCGATTAAGCGTCTTTATGAAAAGTTATGATTTTCGAGAAAAAATGCCAAAATAAATCAAATTCGCCCTTATGTATTGCGTGCTCGAGAATCATAACTTCTCATAAAGGCGCTCAATCAGCGCAAACTTTGCACAAGCTGGTGAAATAATCTATAATACTGCCTGCTCCGATTTTTGCTGCAAGTTTCCGATTTTTTATGAGCCTACACAGAAAATTGGAATTTTGACTAATTTTCTTCTATCGCTCCTATCTATGCAACAGATGGGCATTAGTAAGCAGTTAAGATGTATTTATAAAGTGCGTAAATTACTCTTTCATAAAAAGATAAAAGTGATCAAATCGGTTGGAAAAATCAGAAGTTATGAATTTTTGAAAATGGTGCGAACGGACTTTCGGTTCAACCTAATGTATCTCAGTGGTGTACCCAGGATCTCGGCTCGGGGGGGGGGGGGGACAAAAATTTTTTTTCGGCGAAAGTGCGTGGCGTCAGCCACGCACTCCGAAAATTTTTTTGGTATGCTCCCTAAAATTCCCTCAGAACTCCGGAATTTCAGAAAAAAAGGGCGTGGCGTTAGCCCCTCTCCCCCCCCCCCCCCAATTTTTTGTAAGGCTTAAATAAATTTTTGAAAAATTTCAAAATTATTTTAATTATTTATAAGTGCAAACAAGTCATTTGCACAATATTATAACCCATAAAAGTTACTTTCAAAAAATTCGCGATCCGCTCTCGGGGGGAGGGCCCCCCTTTCGATACGCCACGGCCCCAATGTGTATGAAGTTTCAACAACCACCGACTTAACTCACCTAATATAAACCCACCTAACCTTGCCAAACGGTATCGCTGTATAAATGAATTCTACATTCGTGAACAGCGCTCAGTAACCCCACCAATCCAAGTTTCTGCCAGTTTTGTGACACTTCTGCTTACCGTAAGCCCACCATAACCCGGGCTTATGATCCCAAGGTATCCAGTGCGCTGATCATGAACAGCATATTCATGATCAGCGCACTGGATACCCCCCCACCCTTGGGCCGAGGTTTTACAAAATCTCAAAATTTTAGAAATAACGGAGCACTAGATACCACCATCTTGCCTGCTGAAACCCCGATCAAAATGTACCGCGGAGGACTTTTCGGTTGCTCCTCCTCTTTTCTGCACTATTTCTCTTTCTCTAACCAAACTCTGAGTCATCGCTAAGTTATCTCTGAGTTTCGCGGTGGACTGAGACGCGGAACAAACTCAGAGTTATCGCAGAGCTTAGTGCGCGTTTGGTGTCGCTGTTTCTTGTGCAGAACGATTTGGTCAATGTTTCCTTCAGAGGGATGAATTACCGGTTACCGAGTCCCGCCATACACCGCTTTTCTGATTCGGTCCATTGAGACACTTGTTAAGGGGATCAGAAAGGTGCACGTAAGATCAGATATAACTCAACATTAACTCAGAGTTATAACTGCGATTTCTGACAGGTTTACTACCGACCCAGATGTTGGTGAGCTCCAGCAAGTTTGCTTACTCTGACACCACAGAAGCCAGCGATATAGATCATCAGTTTGAAGATCCCACTGAGAACGAGTATCTTGAATATGGACCTCAATACAGCAATGACCCGGATGTTAAAAACGCAGTTCAGTGGTAGTTCAATGTGTGCCGATAGAGAACCATCTGCTTTTGTGATAAATAATGGTAGCTATTACATACATTGGAAGACATAGCATTTGACAATTTTCTGCTGATTTCAGTTGCAAAACTAAGCTGGATTTATCCGCACGATAAACATCTGACAAATGAATCGATGAAAACATTTGTTATCTCAGATATACCTCAGAAACGGTGCTTGGCTTCAATGTGGGCTTCCTTTTATATCTAAAAAACAGGATGAAGGTATAGGCTTCCTACGCTTTCGTCACTTGGCTCTCAGCAACTTCAAGAGCCTTTTTTTTTTCAAAATTTAGCAACGAATTCTTCTGACTATAGGGATGTAGAAAAAATTCCAAACATTTGAATAAAATTGTTAGGTGATAGATTTTTATTGAAGCAATAATTTTTTCTGATTTTAACTGTTGATAGCGATGCTAAAAACTTAAGTGTGTACCACACAGGCCATTGCAGATCATGCAAAGCCATAAAAACGTAAGAAAAATTTTTTATTCAATGTTTGTATGGAATAGAAAGGAAGTGAAGTAGCAAATTTGACATGTGGCGGTCACATGAAAATCAATTGGTGGTGCCTTGACGTGAAAGTAATTTCGACGTCATTAAACTGTTTTCTTTTTTTTAATGTGATATCCAACCGAAATTTGCATCCTCATATTTCCCTCATACTTACCTGCCTTCTCTCGAATTTGTGGTTACCGCTGTTGTTTCGGTTGATCTTGAGCATCGTTTATCTCTATCGATCGAGCGAAAAGTTCTCAACAGATACAATTTGGGAAAAAGCGGTATCGATCATGGTAAGTTTCATAGTTTCTAATTTTGCTCATCTCATCAAATCTGATTGCAGCTTTGTCATTGAGGATGTCGCATTGGTTGGATCAAAATTCGATCGACTTTGCCCCTCTACCAAACTGATAGGAAATTAACATAAAATTGTTTTTTTTTTGTTAATAAAATCTCTTCTCGGTTTGCAAATCATTGCGCTTCAACACCGAAGAAAGTCAAAATACTTACAGAAAAAAGATTTTTTTTTCTGTGGTAAGATGTGAACGCTAAGACCACTACGCACAAGGAAAATCCCTATTTTGTTTTACATATAATACACGGCGGGCTTACCAATTGCAATGTCGGGTGCACCAGTATCTCCGTCCCCGCGACAGACTCTGCACCTCTTCCTCGAACATACTCTTCAACCATTTCTAATCGATTGAAGCTTTGCCTTTTCCACGCTTGCATGGGAAAGTGATTAAAGAGCATGTTTGCAGAGGAGTCCAGGCGAAGCGACCACGCGAAAACGGAGATGCTGGTGCACGCGACACTAGAGTTGATAGGCCGTGTATGTGCACACCAACGCTTGATCGGAAAACCTTGAAACTTGAATCTACTA